ACCCAAATGGATGTGAGAAACTCTTAAACAAATTAATTTAATTTCACCCCTGATTAAGATCAACAGAATCCAACGTAAGCCCAGTGCAAATTAAAGGGCTAATAAAGATACATAGCATCAACTTGATACTCGAGGGTGATTCTCATACAAGCCACATAGTCCCTGATCGATTTCACTTTCAATAATTTTCATCTACAGAAGGAGAAATCACTCCAAAAGAAAACGATAGCGAAAATGGTCCCACGCATGTCGACATTGGTCCCCAAGAATCAACGCTGCTGGTGACGGAAATGAAGCCCTTAACATCAGCTGAAGTCTTTCATGACTCGCCCTTCGAACAGGTTTTAATAGAGAAGCAGGCAGTACGTTGGCGGTGAGAAGAGTAGACTCAAGAGGCGCAGTAAGCACTCATTCGTCTTTCACGGGTTCTTCGTGAACCCAGGTTTTATGGCACTCTTGACCTACCAAATTTATCACTTTCAACGTTTCAATTTCATGCAGCAACTCTATTTATGTCTAGTTGGACGGAATTTGATTAATTAAGAAGAATAAAATATCACACCGACAAAAGTCTATTCAAACACAGAGAAGAAAGATGAATTTTTGAGGGGGGCTCCGGTAATGGGTAAGGAGTTTTGATTTCTTTTGTTGTGTTTTCTGAAGGAGATTGATTCTCCTTTTGTAGGGGCTAAACCCACTACCCCCATCAGATCCGCCCTTTGAGAGATATTCTCTCAACAAACTCACGTTCAAATTTTCCACGATTTTCTCTATTGAGAATCGTTGATTTGGTCATACTTGACTGAGTCAAGATAACATCTCCCACTTGACCAAATTAACCAAATGACATGCCTCCCACTATCCGTGAGATCAAATGTTTCTTCTTACCATTACTTCCACTAACCGTAGAGAGTAACTCTTATTTCATTATTCATGAAATTTTACTCGAACTTATTATTCTTAAGTCCCATCAAACTTACATGTTTGATAAAAGATTCCGTTGATATTTCTTTTGTCAAATGATCAGCAATCATATCTGTAGTAGGGATATAAGTCATTTTGACTTCTCCCTTTTCTACAATATCTCGAATATAGTGATACTAGATCTTAATATATATTTCTTTGGTGCTATACGCGTCACTATTTATTAAGCTAATTGTTGCTTGATTATCACAATAAATATCAATAGGTCATTCTAACAAATTGAGATTAAGATTAATTAAAAACCGTCTTATCCAGACAGCATGTGTAGTTGTCATACTACAAGCTATATATTCAAATTCTTACGTATATCTAGCAACACTCTCTTTTTTCTTGCTACTCTAAGAAACAGCTCCTCCTCCAAAGATGAATAAGTGTCCCGAAGTGGATTTTCTATCATCTTTATCACCTCCAAAATCAGCATCGGAATAACCGAGGAGTTCGGCGAAAATGCTTGATAAACTAATCTATGAGTCATTAATGTACCTCTAATATATTTCATAATCCTTTTAACAGCTTCCTAATGTGCTGGTCCTAGATTACTTTGATATCGACTAACTAGACTCACAACATAAGCTATATCAGGTATGGTACACAACATTGCATACGTCAAGCTTCTAATTGCTTGAGCATAAGGAACATCTAATGGCTTTTGCTCCTCTCCAAGGTTTTGCTCTTTACATATTCTCTTTCCCATAATCAACGGAGTTGGCACCAGATTGAAATTCTCCATTCCAAACCTTTTAAGAACTGATCTTAAATATTTTTCTTGATTTAAACTTAGCATTCTAGACTTTCTATCTCGAATTATTTGAATTCCAAGAATATATGATGCATCTCCCGTGTCTTTCATCTCAAACTTTTCTTTGAGATCTTCCTTGATTTTATTCAACATTTCTATGTTATTTCCAACGAACAATATATCATCCATATATAAGGATAATATAGTAAACTTGCTCCCACTTTTTAAGACATATATATAATTATCTAATTTATTTTGAATAAAACCAAGTTTAGTGACTGCATCATGAAATTTGAGATATCGTTGTCTAGAAGATTATTTTAAATCATATAGAGATTTTATTAATTTATAAACTTTATGTTTCTGTCCTTTCACCTAAAAACCTTCAGGTTGTTGTAAATATATCACTTCCTTCAACTCTCCGTTAAGGAATGCAGTTTTAACATCCATTTGGAATAACTCCAAATCAAGATATGCAACAATAGCTAAAATAATTCTAATGGATGCAAATTTAGCTACATGAGAATATGTCTCCTGAAAATCTATTCCCACCTTCTGGTTGTAACCCTTGGGAACTAACCGTGCTTTGAATTTACCAATATTCCATCAACACAATATTTCTTTTTGAGCATCCATTTGCATCCTTTGGCTTTTCTATTTTCCGGTAGGTCACATAACTCTCATATCTTATTCTTTTCTATAGAATCAAGTTCTTCTCCCATAGATTCTAGCCATAAAGATGATTCATGCGATTTCATCGTATCAGAAAAGGTTAAGAGATCTTGTTCTTCTATATTTGTATCTACCGAGAAACAGGATGGCTCACATGAATACAAATAGTAATCATTCATCCATGAAGGTTGTGTTCTTGACCTTTTGTTGCCTACAACCGGTTGATGAGGTACATTCCATAGGTATTTCATTATTTTTAAGGTTAGGTTCATTCATAATATCAGGGTCATTAGTGGGAACAACACTATAATAATCATCATCTATTACAGTTAGAGGTTCTGTTTTCTCTCGAACTTGTTCCTCTTCCTCTAGATTCTCTAAAAATGTAGCATCTCTGCTTTTAATAACCCCTTTTTCTTTATTGTAGAACTGACTTTTGACTTTTTTAAATACCCTATGAATCTACACTTTATTATTTTAAAATCCAATTTATCTCTAAGTTAACATGGAATGAGAACATGAGCTATGGATCCCCACTTCCTGAGATGACTCAAATTAGGTTTCCTCCCATTCTATAATTCATAAGGTATAGATACAGCTGATTTGGTGGGAATTCTATTTAGAATGTAGTTTACAGTTAACAATGCTTCACCCGAAAAGTTTTTAGAGAGATCAGAATGAGACAACATGCATCTAACTACATTAAGCAATATTCTGTTCTTTTTTTAGCAACATCATTCTGTTGTGACATATAGGACATTGTTGTATACCTTTTAATCTCATGTTGAATATAATAACTCTCAAATTCTTTAGAGTTATATTCTCCACCTCTATCAGTTCTCAAATTTTTAATTTTCAATTCAAGTTGATTTTCAACTTCTGTCTTATACCTCTTAAAGCAGTCAAAAACTTCTAATTTTCTGGATATAAGATAGATGTGTGCAAACTTAGAATAATCATCTATAAAAGTAATAAAATATTTTTTTATTACTATGAGTTTTGACACTTAGGGGACCATAAATATCCGAGTGTATCAGCCCTAAATGTTCATTGGCTCTTTGTCCGCCAATGAAAGGTTTTCTAGTTATTTTACTAGTTAAACAATGTTCACATGGTGACAATTGAACATTAGATAGTACAAGAAGCAAGTTCAATCTGATAATTTTTTTTATTTTTGAAATACTAGCATGTCCTAGTCTAGAATGTCACAATTCAGACTCAGAAATATAACTGGACAAGTAATTCAAATTCAAATTTTAATTATCAGAATTATTACAAACTACTGGAAGAATGCATAATTCATGCCCGGATATATATTTTTTCATAGCATACACTTTATTATTCTTGCCTATAGAGACCCGATTATTGTAGAACCTAACTTCCAGTCCTTTCTTCATCAAGCTGGAAACAAAGATCAGATTGCGCCGAATTCTTGGTGCATAGAACACATCTTTGAGGACAAGAACATTGTCCCCAAGATCTAATCTATATGAACCAATACCTTTTACATCGAGATAGGTATTATTTCCCATATAGATTCTCTGCTCCCCTTTCTTCAGCTCGGTGAATTCTGTGACTCCATTCTTGTCCTTTGCGATATGCCTAGTTGTACCGACGTCGATCCACCAACCGCTAATATCCGTCATCACAGCATTTTATTCCGTCACACCGACGAATTCTCTCTTGCTAGTACCCCCTTGTTCTGGATACTTATACCCTCCCTTATTCTCCTA